ATTATAATAATTATATGAACAGTAAATCAAAATAATTGTTAATGATATATTACTATACTGATCATCCAAACAAAAATAAAAACTTATAAGGTAAAGAAGAGTAGTAGTAGAAAGAAGACAAACATACATCGCTATCGTAGAGTTGTTGAAAGTATTTTTCAAAGACATGCTTATCGGATCGATGTTCCCAACCATCGGAATCATAGTCATCAATCCCGTAAGACTTAATATGCTTGGTGTGATAAATAACATTTTTAAATGCTCGAGGGTGAGCCTCGGCACGCTTTAGCCTATTATGTCATTGGTTGAGGGTAAGACATCGGGTTTGAGTCCTGGTGCACCATGATGATAAGATCATGATATTGGTTTTGAGTTCTGACACATTTAACCAAACACGCCTATGTATGGGTAAGGCATTTAGTTCAAGTCTCAATGCACCATATTGATGATATAATGATAAATAAAGAAAAATAACATATTTTTCATGAAAAAGCATGTAGTTTGTCCCACTTGATTTGCACCATTCTTGAAGTGAATGCGGTAGCAGTGCATAATAAGTCTAATGAAGATAAGTGGTTGACCAATGAATATGGGTGTGCCATTGATCAAATAATAATAGTCATCATTATAGTAATTGTAAAAATGAGAACAATAAGGGTTCTCAAAATATTCCTTCAAAATGTGAAGGTGATGTTTTCCATCAATATGGTATGAAAATAATAAGCATGCTCATGTGATTATAGTCCACTTGAAGAGAATGTGACTTGTGATATCCGTTGTAAATGCAAACTCATTCTTGAAAGTGAATGTGAAAATATATATGTGATTCAAATTATGCATAAGAATGTGCTTGTGCAAGATTGGATGAATACTACAATTCATCTCTAAGGGAGATTTGAGAGAAATAAAGATAATCAATATTACAATGTGGTTATATGAATATGTCATTGGTCGTGTACATGTTGTACACCAAAAAAAATATATTTTGCCATGCCTTATAAAAGGTTATTAAAGGCCAAACTAAAGCAAGAAATGATTTTGCTTATGATGATTTTGTCCATGACAATTATTATAATATAATTTTCTCCGTGAAGGAAACATTCACCATATGGATGGGTGACAAAAGATCTTGAAGTAAAAAATCAAGAGTTCCAAAAGAATTAATCTGTTACTACCCAGATGAATGAAATTGTGTATGACATTGATATTGTAGTAAGTCTCAAAAGAAACTTTTTGAGTTTCAAATGTATTAGCCAAAGTGGTTGGCATATTGAGACTATAAATGAAAGGAAGATTGAATATCTTTATATTACTATAATCATACCACGTAAATATGAAAGGTTACCCAATTTTTCTTCTATTTTTACTACACATGTATAAGCATGATGATGGAATCACATGCCACAAGTAAATAAGAGGTTTACTGAAACAAATATTAGTTGGCATGACCAATTGGCCATCCCAGTTTATTGATGCGAAAATTAATTGAGAATTCACAGTGGTATATATTGAATAAATAGAAGATTTTTCAAGAATTCTCTTGTGTTATTTTTTATCATGATATACCAGTTAAGATTGAGATTGAATCTCTTGATATCTAGAACGAATAAAAGGTGATATATATGTACGGGCTCAATCACCTGGCATGTGGACCATTTACTATTATATGATTTTAATAAATGCATCTATTGTATGGTCACATGTGTGTTTGTTATCAACTTGCAGTTTGGTTTTTGCAAGATTACTTGCTCAAATTATTAGAGCATAGTTTTCTAGAATATAAATTATGATAATTTATCTTGATAATGTTGGTTTAAATCCAAGGTGGTTTAGCAAAAATTGTATGCCTCCAATTAAGCTAAATCATTGGTTATGAGAACAAAACTCTCAAATAGAAATTTAGTATGAGGTGTATTATTTATGATACAACAGCACTTGTACGCATTTTCCAACAAGTTATGATAAATTTTCATCATAATTGGTTTAGGGTCAGGAACCAAATAATTTCCATCTAGAGATATGGATGTGCTATACGTTTTAATTATTCCACCACAATGCATAAAGATGGTTCCCAAAGAAGGTTGGGAAATGTGTTGGTGATCCCAGCATTAGGGGGGAGAAAATGGGCAGCTGAAAAAGTAAAGTATGGAATGAATTATTATGAGTGCACCTAGATCCTCGTACAAGAAAATGTATACTTGAAGTTCAAGTGATAATTCATTTGTAAAATATTGCCAGACGCATTTGCTAGCCCAAAGCTAAGTGTTATATTTCAGCTGCTAATGCTCCAAATAGAATAAACTACATGATGAACATAGTCTATGCAACGCATGAAACGTAATAGATTAATCGGTTCCAAAGATAAAACTCCTTGAAGAAGGAGAGGAGCAAATGATAAAAATGGTCATACTAAGGAGGGAAGTGCTCTATAAGAGCACCACGACATAATACTTTGTAAGACCTCATAGGAGAGGCTCAAGTACCTGAAAACAATAAGATCTCGATAAGTTATGTCTTTATTGAGTGATGATGGAACCGGTGCAAAATGATTGTCGACGATATTGTTGATATAATGTAGCGTTCAATATTATTAATATTGACGAGGATCTTGAGCTCAAATCTGTCATAGAATTTGAACAGATAAATGATTGGCCAAATGAAAAATATGCAATGAAAATTGACTTCACCTAAAAAATGTGAAGTTGGACGGATAGTCCCAACACCTGAAAGTGAAATAAAAGATCAAGTCGTTAGACATAAAGACGACTTGTAGTACAAGATTTTTCGTAAATATTCCGGCATTAGTTATATGGAGATATGTTCTCCTATGGTGGATGAAATCTTTTTCAGATTTTAATTTGGCAATACATAAAAAACTTGATATACGTATAATGAAAATCCTTGAAGGATTTAATTTGTTAAAGTTTCAGCAGATTCTTAGGTGGATTAGAGTAATCATGGTGTACATGATTTATTTTTGTGTCTAGTGCAATCGGTGCACTAATGTACCTTGCTAGAGCCATAAGTATAACAATATTCTAGCGAGATATAGTTGTACTCCTATGTATATTGAAATACGATTAGTGTTATATTGCAAAAGGAATCTATGATATAGATTTGTTTATTCTAACAGATATTGTCAAGGTTTTATTGGTTATGCAAATATAGGCATTTTCTGAAGTTCATTATGTATGTGAGGGTACTGCCATATTATTATTTTACAAGGTAGTCAATTGTTGATACTTATCCAAGTCATGTCAATATACTAGCAACTGATAAAGCAAGTGACTCAACACACAACAAATATGTGACTTTTCTTTGAAGAGAAGATTCCAATAATAATGAAGGCCAGAATAAAGCATATATAATTTCATCAAAGTTCTTTATCAGACACAATCTTCACAGAACGATGAAATAAATGTTCAACAAATTTGTTCGCTCGATAATTTGGTATTCTGTTCAGTGAAGCATGAGCAACCTCAACATTTGAGAAGTTGGTATACAAGATCGGAACACATCATCTAGGAGAAACAAATTGATGTTTTCATCAGGGGGAGGCAAATACGCGTTGTACTCTTTTTCCCTTAGCTAAGATTTTATCCCACTGGGTTTTTCTGGCAAGATTTTTAATGAGGCAGCAAATAATGCATATTACAAGATATGTGTACTCTTTTTCCTTCACTAAGATTTTTTCCCACATGATTTTTTCTTAGTAAGGTTTTAACAAGGCACATTATCTGTGGATAACCAAGAGGGAGTGTTATGAAATACATATTATATGGATGTCCACTAATCAAGTATAACTCCCACTACTCTTCTCCATTATATAGATAATCCCACTACTTCTCCCCATTATAGTTGTAACTCCCACACCTCCATAACCTCCCCATGATCTTCCCCCATGTTCTCAATAGTTAATATCATGTTCATGATACCCCTTTGTATTACCTCAATGTCATCCTATAAATAGACGGTTTGGGCATCACATTGTACACACTTGAATACATGGAAGAAATAAGAATTTCTTCTCTATTGCTCCCTACATTCTTGCCTATGTTCTTGNGTGGGTGGGTGGAGGTGGAACATAGGGTGGAGAAGGTTGAAAAAGATGGTGAATGTTTTCCCTTCTTTTGGTAGGGAAAATATTTTCCTCCAATTAGAGAAAAATGAGTTCGCGAGAAAAATACTTTTCAAAATATTTAAGCCAACCAAACATGAGAAAATTGGAAAAATATTTTCCTTCATACCAAACACACCCTATGTTCCTAGTTATCTTCTGTGCTCTAATATCCTCATAAAATAGAAAAGGTGACACTGAAAAACAATGAGATGAATGATGTGAAACCATTGATAAAAAGGGAGCTAAAATCAAGCTTAGTACTGCACTTGAAGTAGGCTGTATAGGAGCCTTTCAGTTCATGTAAGGGAGACTATTCACATGGTAATTATTTTGGAATTAGACATATGTTAATAGTGATATATCACTGCTAATAATTCATTACATAATGATGACCTCAGATTAATTTTCTGTATCACTCTTCCAAGCTTTACGTTGAAGAAAAAAGAGTTTAAACTTTTATATATGATTGCGGAAGGAATTTTACAAATGGTGCAGTTGATTATAATACATGGTGTCCACATTCTTTACACTCAGTGGATGTGAACATAAATGACACTACAGAGATTAAATGGGCTCGGACCTTTGATTTCGAAACCTTATTACCTTTAATTATGTGAACTCAGGGTTATCTATTGAGGTCCATTTATGAAGTATCCAAATAATGCAAGAGCTTGAGCTAATATTGTGTGATCAGAAATGTTCAATTTTCTCTTAGAAAGCACATTTACAAGAGTGAGAAAAATGTCGACACCTTTTAAACTTGACCTTTTAACATCTCAAAGGATTAAGGCTAACAAGACTCCCCATGAAAATCCTTGTGATCAACAGGAATAGCAGCATCAAAACTATCAGGAAGAAAGAGAGTCTATAGTCCCAACCCTCAAAGGAAGAGCTCTTTTTGGGAATTGTTCTCACAAAATAATGCTACAAACAACCATAAGGAACTAAAAAGAGAGTTCTTTTGCCAGTTTAATCCTTGAGAGGAAATTAAAGTAGAAGAGAAGGGACCAATATAATGGTGAAAGAAAGAAAAAGAGTAACTTTTTAGTTCATTCTAGTTGGTAAACTGCAATGAAAGGCATTAATACACTCCCCATCCAAAGCTTCCCATCTCTCTCCTCAACCTCACTTATAGCTCTAACAACTTTCCCTTCTCCATCTTCCAATATCTGTAGTAGCTTACCGTCAGGGCTATACTTCACAACAATCGCATGTAGCCGGCCTCCAAGATGCAAGAGGGAACGGAGCTTTACTGGGATAGGAAGCTTCAGCAAGAATAGACGGAGTTTCGGGTATATGGAATTAATATAGCTGTAAATAGTGCGGCGACAGTGGATTGCTACCCAAAATTCACCTCTTTCATTTGCTCGGATATTGTCAGGATATCCTGGGAGGATTGCCATCACCTCTGAGGTCCCCGCTTTATCTCCTTTCAGCCAGTACTTCTGTAACCTATGAAAGAACACAAAATAAATCACGGTCCCATTCCTCCTAGTCCTAGAAAACAAATTGCAGAGCATGTTATTATCAGGTGAATTCAGGTACAAGATTCTTCAATATTTCAGAATTTGGACCTCAGAAGCGTATAAAACCAAAATAAGTATGTTCTTGAATACATGTATTACCAAGTTGGATAGATATATATGTTCTGTCTGTATAAAGATGCATGCATGAATTTGGCATGCTAAAACGTAGACATTTGAGGCGCACAAAACTTTTTCTAGAACAGACAGCACTGATTTGGTTTTTGATGCGGCACAAGAACAAAAAAGTCAAGTGGAAAAGAGAATTTTGAACACAGAAGCTTCTACTATTTAAATCCACAAGGATGTTCCTAAATTCTTCATGTCTTACTTCACATCAGATGTGTGTGTATGAAAATGCATGCAGTGTGCTTCAGTAATTTTGTCTTTACATGTTTGTACATATATATTATCATCTGGCATATGTCTAGGAGACGTCATGTGAAAAGAAAACAAAAGTTGCAACTACAGAACAGGAAAGAGAATCCTTGGTAGCTTTTCCGATATACCTGCCCTTGGCACCTTCACAGAATACAAAGAAGGAACGATCCTTGCTTAGTGACAGACCATTTGGGAATTGGAGATTTCGAAGAAGAACAGTGGTCTGTTTTGTACTAGGATCGTACTTTAGAACCCTCCCACTATCTTCTGCTGAGTAGACCAATAGCATAAAATTCCTGAGAAAGATGGGGTGGATATTAATATTCTAATCAAAGAAGAAACACACATGACAATTGTACCTTGTTGTATTAACACCTGAAAGGAATACCTGTAAATGGCAATGAAAGTTCTAGCTAACCAGACATAAACATCTTCATTATATGCTAGCAGAGTTGGTTATTCATCAAAAAGAAGAAATGTTAGCAAAGTTAGGTGCAATATAGCAACCACATTCAAATTTAAGCTTCTTAATGATCATCTATTAATTTTCACCTTGCCGCAGCATCAACTTTCATTTTTCTGTCCCAGATGCAAACTGCAATGTTCTTAAAAGAAAACGTTTTTCTCCCACTAAGATAGAGAGCACTATGTCTTCCATTTGCATTAATCAGAACAAATATTGAAAGAGAATTCTCCGTTCTGATATTGTGTTGTCAACTTCAAGTTCACCATGTGAAACATTAGGCCTTTAAATTTCTGAATAGCCCAATGCATTTATGACAACGTCTCATTCTTGAGTTGGGATCTAGGTTAACTATATAAAGAAATCTACATTTAAAAAAATGAAGAAACAGTAAATTCACAACCTACCTTCTTTGGTACTTAGTGCTGCTATCTGTAAAATAGATGTTTCCTTCATCATCAATATCGAGGTCATTTGTGAATCCCAGAGGCACTCCTTCAGCCTCATTTGTCAATGTTTCTGCTAGTCCACCTTCCGGACCTACTTTCATCACCCCAAAATATGCATCTGCAATGTACAAATCACCTGTTGTTTTATCAAACCGTAACCCCAAAGGCCTACCACAGATGTGCTCATTCGCTAAATAGCTCAGAGGTGATGGTTTTGGATCACAATTTCCAGACCTGAGAATTCAGATCACAGAATGCATTAGAACATCAGAAAGTAAAGCTTAAATTTAAATCATCTTTAAAAGAAAGAAAAAAATAAGCAATTTGAAACTTTATCGGATGGCATATGTGACAATTAAAGAAGATAGTTTTATAAAGAGCGAAAGAAGCAATAACATCTAAAAATTTGATATCATCAGATAAGCTTAGCAGACCTAACAACTTTGTTTTTGAGAAGGTAACAGTAGCTTGAAGGACCTAACTATTTTAGCATGGAAGACCTGGAATTATCAATAAATAATAGCTTCCTGGAATTTCAAGTAGATAATAACAAGTTCAGAATATACTAGGATCATAACACTTCATTTAAAACCACAACACAAAGGAAAGTAATATCCATTGAACTGATACAGGTCAATTATCAAATTATGAATGAAACTTTCCTGCAAGGTCCAGGACTAAATACTCCTATTATTCTTTGTGGAGCAGGAGCTTGTGGCTCTTTACACTTTCTTACGTCATGCTAGATAGAATTAAGAACTGTGACATTTGTAGCTTTTCCTTAAAAATACAATCTCTAATTAGAATCTGGTAGATCATTTCTCAAATTTGCTTTCATGCCAGCCTGAATTGATCAAAGCAAGATAGCTTTGAAAATGGAATTGATTCCCATCTGATTCCAGTGCTTAACAATGCTGCTAGCATCATATAACTAAGACCCTACTTTATGTTAACTTGGTTTGAGAATATTAATTAGTTAGAGGCTTGGGTTCCAGCAACTTGTGAAAAAGGCATATTCATCAAGCCAAGTTATTATAGCTAGAATGGTAATTTCGCTGACAGACTCTGGAATGATAAGACCGAAAACTGTGGGTTCGGAGGACTTCTATTTCTCATAGGTCATCGTTTTTAAATGTTCCGAGATAGTTAACAATCAAATGATATACTTTGCGATGTACTATATCCAGACAAATCTGCAATCATCTGAAGACTAGCATATGGGTCGAGTATTGTGAGAAATGCTTTACAGAACTATATGAGGTGATTCTACAGATAGTCTGTCACTCTTTTATCTCCTGTTGATACCATTGTGTTAATCCTTGGCTTAAAGATACGCACTTGGATGAAGTCATTTACATATTGACTTTTCGACATCAAACTGATAGTAAGCTGAAGAACCAAATAGTTTACTTAGAATGCCGCAGTAGCAATTTACCTGCTACTTTCTTTACGTATTTCCGAGATTTTCATGAATGATTCAGTTAGTATGCTGTTTCAAGGTCGTATCATTTGTCTTCCCAACACATATCCCTGTGTATCATCTTAACAAACATCACGGCTCTTGAAACATGGTTAAACTCTCTGTTAGATCACCAAAAGGAAGAAAGAGAACTTTAACTTCACATGTTTCCTCTGATAAACATCTACCTTCCTCATTTTTGAAGGTAAACTCTGCCTTTCATCTCGTGTCAAATGCTCAAAACATTTTGCTGCACATCTTAGTTTGCCTCTTTAGAGGCTATTCAACAATTCAAACTTGATTTTTCTCAAGTCAGTTCGCACTGCAAGTACAGCCGCAGCACCTTCAAGCATGCTCTCACTGGATCCTTATTGCTTAAGCTTCATGGCGTCATATAGCAATCTTGTTCGAACACCAGGTTTGCTAGGACTAAGAAATATCCACTTTTCTTGGTCTATTAGTAAGCAAAAGGTACAATACCATAGGGGAAAAACAGTTGCTTTGAAGTGTGATTCCATAGCATAACCCTTCAGTACTATAATATTTAACTTGGATAGATGAGCAAACATTATGTGGACCATCATGAGTTGGAGCTACTACCCACAAAAAAGGATTTCTTGTTGAACGTGTTAAAAGACATATTTTCTCCAAATACAGGACTCAATTCGGTTAAAACATTTTAAGTTGACAAAAAGGAATGCTTAGGGAAAGTTGATTCTATTAACTTCACCTTTAGTAACCACTTGACTGGTAGCTAGATGATATTGTACAGATTCATCCACAATTATCGCAGTGTATAACTGTTATTTCTAAGTACAGCAATCAAAACCCTATCTTGCAAGACCAACCACCTTCCTCCTCAGACATTTACAGGAGTACTTTTGTGAATGATTGCTGCCATATTCACCCTCCATAGCAAATCCTGGACGCATTGTTCGGAAAATGAGAACTTTACTGTAAAATACAGCATGTTCTCTCAGTTTAAAGACCAAAGCTTCATTTTGTTAATTGTTGTCATTGAGGATCTCAAGTTCACATCACATGAATCTTCATACCATGACTTGACTCGAAAAACAACAAAATTTCCAACTAAACGGATCAAATTGTTAAATAAAAAGACACTCAAATTCAAACCTACATTAGTTCTTTCTGCTTTTCCCTGTTGAAAAAGCACCTCAGATTCAAAACCACACATAAGACAAACTATATTGCATAATGAAAAACATAACTATTAACTCGAAGAAGAACTAAATCAAAAATTGACCTAAAGTTTTGTAGGTGTGCTGCCAAGTAATTCTCCACAAACCTAGCAAACTCGTCTGAAAACAATCTCAATCATATAACACAAGACCATCTTCATCTAGGCCCTTAAACAAGAACAACCTAAGTGTTGGTCTGCTGGATATAGGTGGATATGCACCTTGAGCTTCAGGGCCTTACTTTGGTTGCAGCGAATATGCTCGAATGGACTGATCTTTTTCTCTAACCACATACTCAAACCCATTTTACTGGATAAAAATACGTTACATTTAAGAGCGAACTTATAAATTAAGAGCAAAATGCAGCATTTGATTGTTTAGTCTGCTTTAACTACGGGCACAGCCATAGTTGGAGCCACCTTAGGCTAAGGGGTGTCGGTTGGCACCAACAGAAAATTACACTGTGTAGCTCAGTCTAAAAATTATTTTATGTATATATACACTATATGTTGACTCTCTTTAGCTTCTTTGTGTGTTCATTTCATTATATTTTGACAAATGACACCTCTTAGTGAAATTTCTGGCTACCGCCACTGGGCACAGCAAAAAAGAATATCATCGTGATAAGGTGTGAATCATGCTCAAAAAGTTGTTAAACCAAGTGCCAAGCAACCATAACAAAGTGACAAGCAGTGAATCAAAAGGATAGTTGAATGAGAAAAAGGCATCGCAAACACCCCACAATCTGAGTAAAAAACTAAAGTTTTAACTAATAAAATTCGTTAAGCTCAACATTACATCAGGAAAGCTGATATCCTTGCACCATCAAAAAAATTGTAGCAAGCGGGTTTCGAACCCGCGTCGTGTGACAAGGAACAAGGCTTATTCTTAGAAGCAAACCATTGCTGCAAGCATAATTTTGTTAATGAGGGTGCCAAGAAAAATATTTAAGGGGTCCCCAACGTATATACAGCTATGTATATATAGAGTTTTTGTCGAAGTTAACGGGTTCACGTGACCCCTCAAGCATGGCTGTAGGTCCGCCTCTGCTTGCAGATCAGTCAACATTTCCTTAGTTTTTCCATAGACAAGTTCGTCCAGTAGGCCTTAAAATTTAAAACTAATTTTAAATGTTACAGTTAAGAAACAGCATCTGCATGTTGAAGTGTCATAATTTTTCCACATAAATTAGCACATTTCTTCAGGATCAAGAAAATGGTCATTAAAAAAACAAAAGCGTAATTACAACAACAGAAAGAAAAACTACTGACCTATTAGCAGATGTATAGGCAAAATCAGTCCATTTCTGTCCATCCCACAACACAATTCTCCCATCAGCTATACCTGTGTAGGGTCCGCGACCTTTCGGGTCAAATGCGATACTTTCCGGGCCCTGAATTTGGTTCAAAAACTTTATTTCTGATTTCTGAAGCAAGTTTAGGGTGTCCTTTTCTACTGGTATTTCAGACCATGCTGGCACTTCAACTTTATAAGTCTTAAAGTCTTTGAATTCAGAAATTGCACTCTGCTTTAAAGGGTCAAGCCCACAGTACAGTGCCGCTAGAAGAAATATTCCGGCAAATACTATCGCCGGCCTCATTGCCGTAAAAAGTTTTGTGTCGATGAATTTTGGACTGAAAATTTGTGTCTATGAATTATTGAGTAATGGTGTGTAAAGATTGCTACCAAACAACTTTCTGGGATTCTTGAATCTTTTAGGTTTTTTCATGAGAAGGAAATGCTATTAGTAGTAGTAGTAGCTAAGCAGAGTAACTGCTCCCCTACTGCCACTCACCCAGAAATGGAGTACAAAGTCCCCACGCTTCCATGCATGTGACTTTTTATGTATATTTTGTATGATTAAAAAATAAAAATATAAATAATTTTTTTTTAAAACACCAGATTCGTTAAACTTTATTCACGATAACAAAAGAATAAAATTATTTTTTATCACCTTAAGTAAATACATTGAAATTATAAAGTCATGTGATTACTGTTGACTAAAATTTATACAATTAAAGAAGTCTTGGAGCAAAGGTCAAGTTGTCTCCATATGATCCATAGGCTACGGATTTGAGTCGTGGAAATTGATGCTTGTATCAGGATAAGCTGCGTATATGATATACGGTATATCACAACCCTTGGGATGCAGCCCTTCCTCGGACTTTGCATGAATGCAAACTTACACACAAAAAAAATTCATTATAATATTACTGTTTACCTTGATATAAAATTGTCGTTAAAGTGAATAATGTTTAATGATTATAATAGGTAAAATTCACTTAAAAAAAATTTATGACTTTAAAACGGTAGTAAACAAATTTCAATTATTTTAATATAAAAAAATAGTTTAAGAATTTTATTGTATAAATAATAGATAAAATTCAGGTAAAAGGGTTTTGTATGGCAGGGATGATTATTTGTAAATAAACTACAAATTAAATGGTCATACTACCTGTTACGCGACGCCTTCCTGAGATTCCTTGGAAGGGCGACATAAGGCTAAGCAACTGATGTTAGTGCAGTTACTGTCCGCCAACTGAGGTCCCCTCCGTACGCTAGACTAGATTGTCAGTGTTGTACGGGAAAACCAATGTCAAGAGCAATTGAGAGAATAAAAATGTGAATTGAGAATGAAAGAAAGTTTAATTGCATTAATGAAAGCTATTACAGAAAAGCGACACGGTGTCGAGGGGGGAGACACCAATACAGAGAATTGTTTGCTTACTCGAAAGTTTGATTGCTTGATCCACCCTAATAATGCTTAAAAAAAATAAACCAAAGCTACAAGACTAGACTTGATTAAGCTAGAGAAACATAATGGAAACACATGGAATAAAACTGCTCTATATTTACAATGAAAAGGACTTAGTTTTCTACAAGGCAGAAATAGGTCCGTTGTCAGTAGCATTGTCTTTGGCATCAGGGTCTGCGCGCGCGGCTGGGCGCTGGCGAGGGATATTGGTGGGGCGACAGAGGCACATGCGCGCTTGTCACTTGGCGGCCAAATGCCACGGGGCCGTCCGTGGCGCTAGACATTGGGAGGCTTGCTAGGACGCCACGGGGCGCACCCAAAGGGTCATGGGGCATGGCTAGAAAGCTGCCAATGACATTCTCCCCCACCTGATTTGGCGACGTCCTCGGCGCTTTACTTGCAAGATAATCTTCAATTAGGCTCTTGTAGGCTTTGAGGTTTGTTCCCCTCTCCCAAGTATTCTCATGTGCATCACAGCCCTGCCATTTCACCAAGAACTCTTGCTGACCTTTTCTTGAGGCATGAATCACTCTATCATCAAGGATAGCTTCAACACGCCTTTTCCCGGTTGAATTGGGACCTCGAATACTGGGTATTGAGAGCTAGCTCCGTGAAGGATCCTCCGTGTCTTCCGAAAAGGTTTCAGCGGGCTGACATGGAAGACAGGATGAATTTTCCACCAAGCTGGGGTATCCACCTGGTATGCAACTTTCCCAATGCGCCTTTCAATGGATAAGGGACCAATGTATTTTTACAATAGGCAAGGGTCATGGACCCCCGCAAATATCGCTTTGAAATTTTGATCATCACTTTTTCTCCTACTTGGTATTCAACAAAGCGACGATTTTGATCAGCATGCCTCTTCATCCGCTTTTGGGCTTTGACGAGATAGCTCCGCACTATCTCCAAATTTTGCTTCCATTCTTTTGAGAAGCTAGCAAGTCGAGGAGATTTTGACATGTTTGGTGCATTCACAGTGTGTGGGAGTAGCGGTTATTATCCGGTAACAATTTCAAAAGCGTTTTTGTTTGTACTAGAGCTCTTTTGTGAATTGAAACACAGTTGAGCAGCATCTAGAAGCTTCACCCAATTCTTCTGTGATCCGGTTACAAAGTGGCGGAGATATTCCTCCAACATACCATTGAACCGCTCAGTCTAGCCATCAGATTGCGGATGAAAACTTGAGCCGTGACTCAATTTTGACCCAAGGCACTTAAAGAGTTGGGTCCAAAAGTTGCTAGTGAAGCATGAGTCGCGATCACTAACAATGTCTTTGGGCAGGCCCCAATATTTGACGACATGAGAGAAGAAGAGTCGAGATGTATCTTCTGCTGATATATATTGTGGGGCTACTATAAAGGTAGCATACTTGGAAAACCGATCCACCACAACCAAGATAGTTGTGAGATCTCCGACCTTGGGCAATCCGGTGATGAAATCCAGGGAAACGTTTTCCCAAGGTCTCTTTGGGACAGCTAGTGGTTCCAAGAGTCCCGCTTGTGTTAAGCAGTCCGACTTGCCTTTTTTGGCATACTAGACAAGTCTTCACATACTGAGTGACGTCATCGGCTATTTGGGGCCAGTAATATGCACTGCGAAGTAACGCCATGGTGCGTTCTTCACCGGGATGGCTGGCCTACAGAGTATCATGACATTCCGCCAGAAGAGTCCTTCGCAGATCTCCTCCTTTAGGAACATAAAGTTGGTTCCCTTTCACTTTTAGAAAACCATCTTCCATGTAGAACTGGCGAGTCTTAACCTGTCCTACCAAATCAACCAAATATTATGCAGCAGGATCCTTGATGAGTAGATCCTGTATCTGGTCCTTGATGGAGGTGGCTACTTCGCTCCCCCTAAGGGGTGGCGAGTGTCACACCTCCTTTTTCCTACACCCCGAAAGGGTAGAAGGGAGTTTTTCCAATTTAAGTGACAATCGAAACAAGATTATTTATTTAAAATCAGAGTCGCCACTTGGGATAATTTATGGTGTCCCAAGTCACCGGTTTAAATCCCGAATCGAGGAAAGGATTGACTCTGTATTACAGTCCGCGATCACAGAAATCCGGGTAAGGAATTCTATTAACCCTGAAGAAGGTGTTAGGCATTCCCAAGTTCCGTGGTTCTAGCACGGTCGCTCAATTGTTATAATTGGTCTATTGTCTGATTTTAATACATATTTTAACTTTATAATTATTTGATTATTCGTAATTAAAGAATTGAGTTACGCGTACGTATACTCTTTTCCTTTGGCGCGTCAAAAATCATGTCACGCGAACGTATCCACAATTAATAACGCTTTGTTTATTTTATTAAGAAAAGTTTGACCAAAATTGCGCGAACGCATACCTTGGTTTATTTTTAGAAATCGCAGTCATGTTACGCGAACATGTCCACAACCGCGATGATATATTAAACGGTCCTAAAGTAAACTACGAACATTTGTTATTTATGGAAACTTGGTCAACTTTAGTTATAGAAAGTTTTTTCTTTTTTTGATTTGGAAATGTGGTCCGTTTATTAGACGAACATTCCGACGAAAAGTTATTCTCAAGCCCATTTCTCAATCACTCATCTTGACCAAACAGAACCCTATGAGTCAAAATTCTTTTAATTACTACTAATAAGCAAACAATGACCCACAACATCAATTAAAAAACCTAAATTTATATTTAATATACAACAAGATCATATGGCTCAAATCCAGTGCAACTACTATATTTGGTTTCTTTTTAGTGTTTCTTATTTTTTAACTTTCACAACAAATTAGTTGCCATGCTCTTCTATCATGCACAAGATGGAAAATTAAGATAAAATTAATTCAAATAGCTCATCACCGATTAAAACATTAAATGTAATAGATCAAACCCTTCTCAAAAATTAGATTATGAAAAAAAATAAAACAATGAACTCTTCTGAAATCCTTAAAAGAGCAAAACTAGGCATTAGATAATTTAAACCTTTGGAGAACAATTCTATAACATATGAAGTTTTGGAGGCTAGTTTTCAGAACTTAGCTAAATTCTAAGCTGCACAGTGCCAAGCGTGGGAATCAACATTAAAACAAGGTTGCTGCAACTTCCCGAATAAAACCCAATAACATGCTAAATACATAACCATCAAATCCATAATACAATAAATCAAGCATGAGAAGGACAAAGCTAAGATAAACAGATATGAAAATCGCAGAACAAATAAAGTTTAAAAATCGGGCATTTCATCGACTTCAAAATTGCAACTTAGAATACGAACCGGAAATGAACGCAACGGAATAGAAACTCGACGACCTTGAAGCTCGCTGGAAATTGATGAACCTCAGTCAAACCCGACTTTTCAGTGATAACTGAAACGGATGACTGTTGTCATCGGAATTTCTCACTCTGTTTCTACCCGTTCACCCCTGTATTAGGCTAGCTTTTTTTCTTGTGTCTGTCTATATTTCCTACCTTTTTTTCTGTGTGTTTGGCGTTTGGCTGGGTTTTTTAAAGGGGGACGGTCTATGGCTGTTGAAGGTGTAAGAAAAGGTGAAGAAAAGAAGAACCAGATTTTTTGATTTCTTCCCCCTCCTCTCTCTCTATCTTCAGCCTTATATCCTTTTCTGATCTCTAATGTGTGTACCATGTGGGGTCCAATGCATAGAGTAAAAATGTGAAACAAAATTGGCATGTCATTTTCAAACGTGAGTGTGCACTGCATTGTGGAAGAATGATGGTGAGGGCATTAATTTGAGTGGGGGACAACCTAACATTTGTTACACAAGAAGACAAAATTTAAAAAGTAATTTGTAAAAAAAATCTAAAATAAATAAATTCCCTAAAGAGTTCCTACGTTGTCTTAGAGGACTATTTCAATTCTTTTCAATACTTGTCACGTTCTTCTCGTTCCTCTTTTTCTTTTTTTTTGTTTTTTTTTTGTTTTTTTCTATTATCAATAAATGAAACTAGCTACACAAAATACTAGTAATATTAGGAAGAGAACTAAAATAATTATATTAGAGAAATTCAAATATTACTCAATACTTACAACTTAAAAATCATACTAAACTAAGTAATACCTATTTTTTAGAAACTTCTCTTTCTTTGTAATTGGGGAATAAAACTAATATTCTAAAATATGTAACTCCTTTTTTTTTGTAATTTTTATTTTCATGTAATAAAATAAAGTAAAAGAGTAAAAATTAATTGAAATAGCTATATTAGGCCTAAATTAAATATTTGTATGCTAAAATATAAAAAATCTTGGGGATGGTCAAAAATCACATGTCTACAGCTGCCCCTTTTTGACTGGAAATACTAAGTATTTTCAGGCAAAGAACGACTAGACAGTTTTTTTGACCCGACACTTTTTTTTAGGAGACAAAAAAAGCTAAGAGGAAGGAGAATGTGACTGAGCCCTGGTATCTGAGCTGCCTACATATCCTTGGCTATAAAGGAATCAGGTCACGTGTTGTTCAGAGGTGAATGAGGTGATGGAGTACCGAGGTGGAGAGCCGATTGAGGTGCCGTCGAGGTTCCGGTTCGCGGTTCCTGTTATTACATCAAAAATCAAATGAAAAAGACTAACTAAGTCTTTCAACTACGAGTAACAAGATTC